TACAAGACAATCTGTCACCAAAGTACACCAATATAGATATATATATATATAAATTAACAGTGATCTCATCAACACCTTACATGGCATATCAGAATGTAGAGATGCAAGTAGGAACTTCAGCTGAGCCATATAAGCTTGCAGCATTTTCCTTTATGTGGATAAGGAACTTCTAATGAACTTGTAATGTTTTCTATATATTCAAAAATTGTGGTGACCTTCATGAATGCCATACATTATTTTAAGAGTCCCATTTTGGTTGCATTACTTTTATATTTTGTACTAATATATTAATGATTTCTTTATAATACTTCTTAGGATTATTTTGAAAAATAATTAGAAAAAACAACTTAAGTTTGTTTAGTTAGAACCAGTATTTTGTTCTTGAAATTTCCATTTACTTTCATCTATTTTTGTGTCTGAAGTGACCATTACAAAATTTTTTGGTGAATAACATGTTAACTCTATGGATATGGGTGAGTTTAAGAGTGTGTCACAACCTTTTTACCGAGTTATGTTCAAAGTATAATTAAATAACTTTATTATCAATGTATGTTAATAATCTTAGGATCAATACCTAGTTTATTATTCAACTTTTTACATTATTTATATTTTAATTTTTAATTTCTACAGGAAAAATTGACATTTTCAATCTGTACCTCTGTGTCAGAGGAAGTGGTGTGGTAATGACTTCTTATTTATAGAATTTTTTTTTTTTTATAAGGGCTTTAGATTGCTCAACCAATTAGAAACACATATTATAGATACTTACAAGACAGAATATAAGGTTTAAACCTATCTTCTAGCTTGACTTAGGTATCACTATATTTGTTTAACCCACATAACATGCCATTCACATATCCTCTGTCTTTTCAGAAATGTCTATAATTCTCTTTCACATTGCTATTGGAGATGTTTATAACCAATATAAAGAGCATATTCTGTACTAAATAAATCAGAGAATTGTCTGTTTTGTTTTAGGTGTCAGTTCACAAGGAAAGCTTGATGTGTTTAGAATAAAGATGATGCTCTGAGTAGTAAAGGAATTTTTTTTTACCTATTTATAGATTAGTTAGAAAACCAGGTAACTTATACTAGTTTTGGGACATCCTATTCTAGTGCCTAATATATATTTTTTTGTGTTCTGAGATGCATATTTGAAAGATACATGAACAACCACCAGAGTGAGGAAAGCACAGGCTTACTAAACAACAAAAGGCTCAAAGCTAGAGAGTATGTGCTACATTTCGTGTTTTATGTATAATTTTATATTTATTGATATATATCTTTAACAAAACTAACTAAAATGTAAACAAAAAAAAAATGTTTTGGGGCACTTCTCTATGAACACACATAAGCAGTTTGACATAACCAGATACTCTATTTACCCTAAGCTCTCTGCTCTTGTTGCAGGTGATACATTGTTTGTCATACAACTGAAGATGGTTTACTACAATAAAACTAAAAGAAGCAGACATGAAAAGACTAGAAAACTAAGGCTATTCCAAAAAGTAATTGCAACTGTCTGTTACAATCTGATGTTATTCTAGAAAAACAATTTTTGATGTTATTTCACTTTACAGTTTTTCATTTTACTGCACTTTGATGAATTTACTACAGTTTGTGTTAAGGTAGATAAAATAAGAGATAAAGTATATAGTTTCTTAAAAAAAAAAAACTTTTGATGTTCATTCAGGTGGTTCTAGATGTTATACAAATGAAATATAAAACCTATAAGATAAGTATTTTTATTTTTAACACAAAAATCACCTTTCACTGACTAAGTAAAGATTTTGTAAATTAACAGACAAGCCTTTATAAAAGATACTTGATTAAAATAATCTGATTTTTTGTGTACAATAGACTCATAATGTTTACTAAAAGCATGCCAAACTTCATGAAGATAAGAAGTACATTTAGAGTTATAGTATTCATATTTTCATGATGGTTACAAGGTTGGTCTAAATGACAAGAGCCCACACACAGGGAGTTAACAGCCCCGAATTGAAAGCAGATGAATAGCTTATGTTTATGGTATTTAAAAAAGTTTAATATTAAGTTACTCCTATTTATTCATATCTTAATACATCCTTCAAATAATTTACAGATTAATGTTAACTAAACAACTACTTCATTAAATATTGTTTTATGAAAAAAAAATCAAGCTTGTGAGTAGCTCTCCCTGTTGAAGAGACTATACTATTCAATGACATCTTCATTAAAGATAGTATTCTTTCTCTCAGATATACAGACAAAGAAACAACTATAAACCAAGAAACAAATACACAACCTTAATTTTATCCAGCAAAAGATTTTCTTTTATAAAAATGTGTCAGAATATAATGAAAATTCTCAACAACTCATTTGATACTACCAGAAAAAGCATAAAAGCTTAATCTTGACTGGTTGAAATGAATGTATATGCATGCTATACATGGAGGCAAAATTTGTAAAATATATAAATGTGTAAATGTCAGATTTTAAAACTAGCAATATTAATTTATGTATTAGATAAAAGAAAATTATGATATATGAAAACACATTAAATACATACCTGTGAGGGCTGATTTCTTTTCACAGCATCACTGAAATCAGTTAATGGCATGTCTTCCTCTATGGTTTCAGTGTGATCAGAAGTGCTAAAAATATTTATGATGCTGTTTATGAAGTAATTTCTAGAAGCTGTCTCTACCATCCATGTAACCCAATCAGCAAAATGTTGTCCAACAGATGTCTGATTTGCTTTTGAAATAACAAAAAAAAAAAAAATGAATTTCATCAACTGGATATAGAACTCAAATATATATATATATATATAGTTAATATGATAATCATTAATAAACAAAAAGAAACTTAAAACAGGAAATACAAAATGATGTAATTTTTAAAATATAAATTGAAATAAATGTTTTTATTCATTTGTTTCATATATTTGGACAATTCAATACATATACCATAAGTAAAAAAGTTAAAAATTTGAAAAGCAAACCTGAGAAATAAGACAAATTATGAATTTGCTTACAAAGTAAGATACAGGGATTTAAAAAAAATCTATTATAATACTTACATTTATGTTTCCTCTATTTAAACAAAAAAGGATAAATAATTTGGATTTTGTGAAATTGCAATATAATTTTGGATTTCCCAAATTTAAGTAGATTAGTAACTTTAAACTCAACAAAAACACTTACTGAGACTTAAAGCTAGGTTTTAAACTTCTTTTACCATAAACATATACTTCAACAGTGAAATTAAAATTGGTATATCCTTATTCATCTCTGAAGCTTTAAATAAAATTATGCCCCTTCCCTTTAATTCAAACTTACTTATCTTTCTGACTCTCCCAATACTACAAAGCTAAAGGTACTGTCAGTCATCTATATATATCACATATTTGTCCTTTCATTCATTAATTCTTTGCCAAAGATAAATAAAAATTGCATTTCTTCGTTTACTTCCAGACATGGTGTATTCATATTCAGTATTTTTTTGAATGCATTGGAATACAGCTTTGGGTGTATTTATACTTGTATTCATATACTTTGGTAGGGAAAATTAAAGTATTCATATTCGTATTTGTATACAATGGCGTAGAATACGTATTTACTGAATGATTTAGTGAATACTTAATATTATAAGATTAAATGTCAACTTTTGTACTTGTCAAATATCTAGACTGTCATTGTTACATCTCCTGCACATTAAATCAGGTCAGTACTCTCCAACCACCTTAAAAGTTATTGTATTAAATGGTTATTCATCCAGTCAAGTCACTTGAGAGAATTTGAGATGGCTACTAAACTGCCTTCTGTGGTACATGAACTCTTCATACTTCCTACTGCTAGATCTGGTAACATCAAGGCAAAGTGTAAATATTGTGAGCAGATTACTTCTACTTCAAGAAAAATCACTTCTAACCTGCTGACACAGGTAAGCCGTTTTATTATTTTTGTTAATATGAACTATATTATATGTAAATTATACAATATAATATAGATGAATTTCTCATGCATGTTAAACTATATGTTTTATTATTTTCATTTATTTAGTATTATATGTTTTTATTTTTATTATAAACTATATTCTATATTATATAACTGAGATACTTATTATGATATATGTTTTATTATTTTTATCATTATAAATTATATTCTATAGTTAAACTAAATTTCTCATGTTTTGAACTACATTCATCAATTTTATTGTTTATTTTATGTTTTTTATTGTTTTTTATTATAAACTATATTCTATGTTTGTTAGTATTTTACCTGTAAACTATATTCTATGTTATATAACTGAGATACGTTTTTGTATTCCTAGCACATCATGAGGCAGAGCTACAGCAGTCTACATCTGGCTCTGGTATTTCCACCCAGGTGCAGCAGCCTACAATAGCAGAATACTGTACAGAATCAACTAAACAGAAGTCTACACACCCTCATCAATTTTATTGCTGGTACACTAAAACCCTTATCAGTGGTGGAATCAAAAGATTTTCAAGATCTAATAGCAGCTTTGAATTCTCAGTATATTCTTCCCAGTCACAAGCATCTATCCATAATGTTAATCAGGAGCAGGTTTGATAAATTCCAACAAAAAGTCATCTCTCTACTGCAATTTCTACCCAACATCAATGTCACTGTGGATATCTGGAGTAGCAGACAAATGCACAGCTTTCTTGGAATCACTGGTCATTTTATATTTGACTGGAAAATGCAAACAGTAATGCTGGCATGTCAGCATTACAAGGGGCATCACACATCTGATAACATTGCAGCTCAATATAATGAAATAATAAATCTGTTTAACATCAACAACAAGGTGTCATGTGACATCTGATAATGCATCCAACATGATCAAGGCTTTCTGCTTGCCTGGGTTTGAACCACAAACACTCCCTAGCGTGAGAGATTGTGATAGCTCATCTACAGATAGTGACTGAGAACATGAAATTTTGAATAAATCTAAATCAGCAGAATATTTATCTGAATTTCTTTCTGAACATGACCCCTGCTTTTCCCACATGCTACAGCTTGTGGTCAGGGATAGCATGAAAGAAACTGGACCATTGCTAAGAGTAATTTCCAAAGCATCAGCCATTGTGTCCTACATTCAAAAATCAACTCAAGCAACTGATCTATTTGAGGGAGAGGCCAGAGTTCAGTGGGTAACACCAACATGATGGAACTCAGAAATTAAGACAATTAAGTTTTTACTAAAGATTCCTCAGAAGAAGTTGGATAATCTAGATACTGGTACATTGAAACTTCCTTTTCATGATCAAATTGTGCTTACAGATTTGGTGACAATACAGACACCTTTTGTAAAGGCAACAGATTTCCCCTAATTGTTACCTCCAGTTATGTAGTGTCATGTGTTTATGGGCTGATGATTGAGATTGACAGCTTGCAGTCCAGATATAATTTCAATCTTGTCTCTACCATGAAGAAATCTGTTCATGCCTGGCTGACTCAGTATTAAGAATTAAATGACTTCTGGTTGGCTGTGGCATTAGACCCCAGATTTAAACTTTGACTGATGTTTCACTAGACCTATGGTCTATGAATCCAATCGAATGCTCCTGCAGCAACAAGTCAAGAAAGTTTCCTCAACAAGTAATCCTACAACTATGGAACCAAAAGTGAACTGTAAATCCTGTCCCCTTGCATAAGAAGTGAGCTCTTTAGTTTCTTTGCTGCTTCCAAGAAACCAGCCACCTCATCTTCAGAGGATACAGAGATCAACACCTATCTTGATGGTCCTTGGATTCCTGAAGAAAGAAACCCTCTAGATTATTGGAAGATCCATTAGAAAAACTTTCCTACCCTATCTCTACTAGCCAAATTCTACCTGAGTGTTCCATGTGAACAAATTCATTTGTGTATGTGAATTGCTTGGGTACTTAAAGTACACAAGAGAATGATTGCACCAGTGATCAAAGCATCGTACCTGTTCTAAAAACAAATCATTCTTACTGTAAAAGTTGTAACTTGTAATAAAATAATACTTAATCAGTAAGTAAACTCAGAACGAAAGTTTACATTTTCAAAACAATTTTCTTCCCCGACAGTACTTCAAGTAGACAGATATTGTTTCTGTATTCCCTAGGTAAAGTATATTATATTACTTTTCTTTTGTTACCTTTGCTAAGAATATTTATTATCCTAATTATTGTATCTAATTTCATTACTTTTATTTTAGTTTACTGTTATAAATTTATTATTAAAGTTAACATTTTCTTAATTCTTTCAGCATGGGCTCGGTCCCTGGGACCGACCTTGTAACCATTTTGTGCTTCTTATAGTTTCCATGCTATAACTTTTAAATTAGTAAGTGACTGTTAATGAAATTTGACACATTCTCAGTAAACATTACAATGCTTTCATACACAAAATATCAATTTTTTTTATTAAGTCTTAAAGTTTGTAATGCAATGTTTTTCTCATGCCTTTTTTTTCTTTTCGTATGTTGCCTTTCTAACATGCAAAGTAATTTTCA